ATAGATCATCTACGTTGGTGATCTACAAAGCGTTACTCAATATTTAAAGTCATTCCAAGATAAGTTACTGACATGTAATAAATAGGATAAGCAATCAACACACGATCATATAGAAACAGCCAGGGTTAATAAGCCAATAAGTGACATGGTCAAAGTATGGCTTGAAGATAGATCAGCCTGTCCAGAAGCGAGAACAGCCTAAGTGTGTAGTAAAGTGTTTGTGTGCGATAATCGATAGGTCATGTTCTGTGTGTTCACAAACCGGAACGGAAGGTTAAGGGTCATATTTTTTTAAACGACGATTTTACGGGCAATAATGATAATCGTGCAAATTGTAATAATCGATGAAAAATGCAAATATTAAAAAAAGTAATTACAAAAAATGTCTACCTTAACTACCCCCCACAGTCCTAGTAATAAACCCCGAGGAGTCCACACTACGACATTCTGTAGCCTGAGTAAAAGTCGACTATTCAGATATAAAATAAACCAGTCCATTACCGATCGCTTAACACTTAACAGCTTTGGCTTGCTGGTGAGATAAATTTTATTGACCCTATCAAAAGATTTTGGGAAGTTAAGGTATGTAGCATCAACCTTCCCTCGATGGCCAGGAAAAGTTTCTTATCTATCAACTGCAGCCGGCAATTTGACGATACAGGAGTAGCCCTTCCTGAAAATGTTCTATCGGGGCGAAACGATGTTTATGCAGAGTAATTAGACATATAAACCGTTGTATATCAAGGTCCCCATAACTTTTGGGGATAGTGAGATTACCGCCACCGGACATTAGCGCCTGCAACAAAATTGGTTTACTATTAGTTACTCGTAGGTATCAGATACAAGCGCAAATGCTTTTTGCTAAAAACGAGCATTTCCGTAACCTGGAATGTTATAACCCTACGCATGTTTGTTCCTAACTTTTGCATATGGTATTAAAAAGAACCATGACAGGAAGCTATCCACGGTTTGTTAATATCCATAGTATCACGGATAACCCTCTGCCGTCAACGATTCAAACTAATATTGAGTATTTATTTTTGTGGCTAGCTCCGCCAGTAGATTGTCTAGAGTTGGTTCCGGTCCCAAGCCTGGATAAAGGAGGAGGGTTGGACACGTTGTCAGCAACCCGATCCCGAGAAAAAACCATCTTGCCAAAAAAATGTTGAACAGAAAAAATAATTAAACTCTACCCTCGAAGTTATAGGTTATCCATTCACAAGAATAATTACGCCTCATGATGAAATCCACTCTCGGCAATTATGTAGGTACATGTAACGTCCGGAAATCTATGGGAGACTGAGAGGTCTAGTCAAATGGCAACGGAAATGTGTAGATACAACCTGGTGGTTCTCGGGATCAGCGAAACCCATTGTACCCAAGTTGAACACAAAAGGTTAGATTCGGGAGTGGTACTGATAAATTCCAGTCACAAAGAGGAAAATCCCTCACACACTCACAATGTTGTTCTGATGCACGAAATGCACTTGTAGGATAGGGATTTCATGGACCCATAATCATCTAACCATCCTTCGAAACAAAGAAGGAGGGGATCACAATGAATATTATCCAATGATATGCACCAACCACTGATAACAATGAAGACAGTAAAGATCAATTCTATGAGAGGCTGAAATCAGCCATAGAGAAGTGCCCAAGAAAGGACTTCAACATCCTGATGGGAGATCTAAACACCAAGGTCGGAATGGATAACACCAGGTATCAAGATATCATGGAACGACATGAACTGGGTACTGGGAGAAAGAAACTAGAATGGTGACAGATTTGTAAATTTATCTGCATTCAACAAGATGGTTATGGGCGGAACAATATTCCCACACAAATGCAGTCACAAAGCTATACGTGTCTCACTGAATCACACCGCGGAGAACCAGATACCTTATATTTGTATCACTAAAATATTCAGAAGGCAAATGGAAGACGTAAGAACCAGGAGAGGAGCTGACATTGCTTCAGATCAACACCTAGTGGTTTCCATGATAAAACTAAAGATAATGAAACACTGGACAACTGGTGAAACAGCATTACAAAGGTTCAATACAGCGTCCCTTTGACCTACTGACAAACTCAACGAATTCAATATAACTTTCAACAGCAGGTTCCAAACCTTACAGGATCTACTGAAAGAAGAAACTATTATGGAGGACAACTGGAAAGGTATCAAAAAAGCACCAACCTGAGCGTGTCAGGAAGTGATGGGCCGCAACAAGCATTATCATGAGGAATGGATCTCTATAGAAACACTGGGTGTGGTTCAAGAAATGAAGAACAGGAAGACGACAATTAATAACAGTCGAACAAGAACAGAGAAAGTCAAGGCACAAGCTGAATGCACTGAAGCAAACAAGCAAGTGAAGAAGAGCATTAGAGCTGACATACAGAAATATGTGGAAAACCCAGCAGTGACTGCGAAAAAAGCTGCAGCAGAAGAAATAGTGAAACAATTATATGACACAACGAAGAAACTAGTAGATAGATATAGTAAACCAGAGTGACCGATCAAGGACAAAGAAGGCAAGACAACCATCGAGATTCAAGAACAGAGGACGAGATGGGTGGAACAATTCGAGGAACTCTTGAATACACTGGCTCCATTGAATCCACCGGATATCGAATCAGCACACACAGACCTTCTTATAGATAGCACTCCACCAACAGTCGAAGAAATCAGGATGGCCATCAGACAAATACGAGTGGGAAATCAACAGGACCTAAACATATACCAGATGAAACACTCAAGTCAGATAAAGAAGTAACTGCAAGTTTGCTTCACGTTCTGTTCACCAAGATCCGGAAGAAGTGCCACCGACAGACTGGAAAGAACGATACCTCATCAAGACACTAAAGAGAGTATATTTGGGAAAATGTGAGCACTAAAGAGGAATCACACTACTGTCAGTATGAGGATAGGTTTTCAACAGAGTGTTACTGAACCGGATGAAATACTCAGTAGATGCTGAACTTCGAGATCAACAGGTCAGATTTCGTAAGAATTGGTCGTGCACAGACTATATCGTGACACTACTGATCATCATTGAACAATCAGTCGAGTGAAACTTGTCACTATACATCAAATTCCTTGACTATGTGGTGTCCGACAGTGTGGATAAGTGGACCTTATGGAAACTTCTTCGGTACTATGAAGTTTCTGAGATGATTGTCAGCATCATTCGGAATCCATACGACGGACTATAGTGAAATATCGAGTGTCGACGATAGCTGACGGAGATATTCCACCCTTCCCCCTCGTACAGTGAACGACACCGTGACCTTGAGTTTACTTAAACGCGACTATATTGTCAACAGCCTGGTGATATGCAACAGGAAATTTTAGCGATGTAGGAAAGTCTTTGTCCACGGTCAGATTACAAAATACAAGTTCAATCAGTGCAGTTCTAGGAGTCAGTCGCCTTCATTACTTTAGCACTAGATAAAACGATACTTTTCAGCACTCCTCCTTCTGCACTATATAACCACCGTTGAGGGGACTTATCCTCTCTTCTTAGGCCAGTCCTTGTGTGGTTAACACGAATCAGGCAATTATCTTCTTGATTACGTTTGGCACTAAGACAATGCAAAAAATGCCACATGGGCATAGGTCTCTCGTAGGCCTTTAATTCACATCCACTTCAGTACTAGCGGATTAGGTGGGATATAATCATGATGTATCATACTTTCGAAATCAATACCGATATACCCTACTGCTGGGCACTCTGTATTAGTTTGACTAGCAGATTGTTTCTTCGCATTTTGCCGATAACATAATAAAGGACAGTTAGGAACGAACATGCGAACAGTTAGAGTCACAGGCGGCAGCAACAATTATTTTAGCTAAATAAAAACGAACTTCGGCTTTGGATATCTAGAAAACAAGGTAAAACATAACCGATTGTCGTTTAAAAACGTAAGGTCTTATGTTAGTACTAGCCAACTTAGCTGAATAAATGCAGTGACTTCAGTAGCAGCAGGTAAAACCCAGAAAACAAAGCAAAGTCAGGAAAAATTTTGCTCCAACGTTTAGAGTATTACACTAACTTCTGGATTTTAGCACACTGAAACATTAAATTCTGTAGCTACACAAAAGAAATAGCGGAAAAAACACAGAACGAAGAAAGCCGACCGCCATTGCTTACGAAGATGGCGGATGTAATAATTCCCGCCTCATTCTGATTAGTTGCTAAGCTGAAGGGCACATTTACGAAACTGAGTTGCGTTTAATTGCAGCCTGAAATTCTCTCCATCCGAATCAACCAATGATAGGCTTCAGTAATAAGGTACACACAAAAAGGAATTGGCCACAGAATGGCTCTCACAGAACCACATTCAAACTTTTTTGAGGTCCGAATCAGTAGATTATTAAACTCTTAACAGGAAGCCATAGTGATAGTACCCTTAGTTGGATCTTCCAAAAAAGACACGAAGATAATTTTGAATCTGTGGGTACTGAGGAGGACTACTGAAATGTCACTCATCGATCGCTTTCATTCACAACTAAGTTGTTTTACCATCTGGTTTCAATTAGGGATAAAACAAGGATCATACTTGTTCGTAATGAACATTTCACTTCTACTGCCCAAATTCGGTCTTAATAAACATGCACTTTACTAATCCTGTTTATCAAATAAGAGGTAAGAGGTACATAGTACTCTGATCCTTATGATCACCCACGTATCAAAGGTAGTTTAAAATTGGATATAGGCTATATTCTATGCATCTTCGGTTACTTACCGAGCATCGGAGCCCACTTAGAAAATAGAGTAGCTTACCAACCCCACCATGGGTTATAGACATGAACAAGGTGTTTCCGAAATGACTTTGCATCGGAGTGAATGCTGTGGTCCATGAAATTACATGATAAGTTTTTTGTACATTGTTCTTGTTTGTAATATCTATTTCCAAAGGTAAAATGTCCGCTGCATCAGCTGCTCTATGCGTCAAGGTTACTTTCAGTTGGCCAATCAGATCTCGGATTCTTTCATACCTTTGTTATTAAACCCGGTTCACAACCATCCTTGGTCTGCTCGGCACAATGATGGTAACAAGCTCAAGGAACACGATGGGGATCTTTGGAGCACCAACCAATAATGTACCTGAGGGAGTGCTTCCGTCTGTAAAGTCCCCCAGAAAAGGTCGCCGTCTGAAAAAACGTCTGGAAGTTTCCGAGACAAATTCGGAGTCACATCAAGAAATCACTTCTTCTAGTCATTATAGAACTTTCGAAAATGACCTTATTCCTGGCCAGAGTCTTTCACCACAAACCTCCAGTCTTTGCACACAAACTCACTTTTCAAGCATTCGCTGCCAAGCAGTAAGTTCATACAGCCTCCTGTACAATTCTTAGTTTTACTACGCTATTCAGGAAAAATTATTCTCTTCTTTGTCTCAAGAAAAATTACTTTATATTGGTAATGAGCATTTGCTAGCTGTGAACTCAGTAAGCCATCATTTCTGTACGATATTATCTTCAGGATTTGGATGATAAAGTTGACGCAGCATTGAGAGCAGAAACTTTGTTCAAATTGTGGTCCTTACATAGCGCCTATTATTCGCTTTCCTCCATCATATTCTGCAAGGCAGTGTGTTTAATGGATTTGCTGGTTGCCAGAGTCAAAGTAAGCTTGGAATTTATTTGTATATAATGACTATATAGGTTAAACCAAAGTACGCAATGTGCGTGGCCGCTGCATGCTACTACATCACTTCCAAGTTCGAGAGATCATCCGTAAGTATATTTTTAAGAATTCAACGAATATGTATACAAGCTTTTAAATGCCTGATGTTACAGTATACGAGGGAGCTTGTATTACGAATTTAATTATTACTTGAGTTATTAAACTCGTTATTTTTGCGCAAAGCATGTTTTCCTGAAAACCATATACCACAATCGAGTTAACTGGTATACTTCGTTTGTAAAATCTTTTCTTTTTCTGTTCGGTTTCATCTCATAATCCGCGCAACTAACCTTCCGTTTCCATCAAGTGGACCTGGTGCGATCTCTTTATGATAGTTCAGTAAAATATACGAAGGGATCTAAGATTATTGTTTTTTGTTAATAAACTTTAGCCGAGTTAGACGTGCGATTATTGCTATCTGTTTTGCTTTTGCATGCTGGCGTAACACTTACCCATAATTGACCTATGGTAGTTCTCATACTTTTGTCATATGCTGCCAACTACATCTGTAAAACTTGGAAAGTAAACCTTGGAATTATTTTTGTTGTTACTGCCTTAAGTTTTTACCAGTATTAAGCAGTTAAAGGTCAAAGATCTAAATAACTTGGTCTTATTTATTGATTGATTTACTATGCTAACAAGAAAGGTGATCAATGTTAAGTGTGGTGACGATTCTTACGTTTCATTTTGTTGCTCGCTTACATGTTAATTTTTTATTTAGTTCCCGAGATTACGATATCACATACATTAGAATATTTATTTGGAGCCTCATTTTTGCATTCACTTTACTTATCCTAGCTGCAGTTTCATCTGACTGTAGTTTATTGTATAAATTACAAAGGTTTGCTGGTTTTTTCTTTACTGCCTTAACTTGATTGTACCAGTGTCGTACTGTTTTGTAGGAACACGTTTCACCCACACCCGAAAGCCTTGTAACGCTATCACGATGTGGCGGCACAGCTGCTGATCTGACGCGAATGGTGGAAATTATCCTTACAAAGTTGGGGCCTTCCAGCGTTGCTGCTATCGGTGCATGCTCGGCTACAGCCATTGATTTCCTGTCCATTTTCTCCTCGTTCGGCATCCCGTTTGCGTCTTATCAAAATGAATCTAGAAATCAAAACTCTTGGTTGCCTGTCCCTATTTCTATTTGTCGTCAGATCGAAATAGCTCTAGTCTCCTCAGAGGTATCGTGCTTTCGTCCTTCGTGCCTAGCACTGGCCTTGCTCAATCATCTTTGTTTTAATTCAGCTGTGGGGTCACTGGGTTCAGCTGACGATTGGTTGCAGTTCCATACGTCTGACCTCTATAACTTGTCACTTATATGTAACGTAAGTAACTTTAACGCCTAATTTATATTTGTTAAACAAATTTCACTTCATAAATTCCCTTCTCATCACTTAGAAATGACATCTTGTTTGACCAATGCATTTTTTAATGGGCAATAAGCACATTCATAATAATTCTTGATTTTGGTGGAAATATTACTCATATATGTTTAGTGATCTCTCTGACTACGGATATATATTATTTCCTGGCTGATCCTAACAGTCTACAACTTCTGGTTTGTTTTTGACCCTACAAGTTTTTGGGTTTTGGAAACATCACATTAAACAAGTTCTAATGGTTGATAATAACATAACTTATCGTAATCTACTGAAATATGCTGCCATTAAAAAAACTAAGTGCCCTCATCGGCAATCCCACATTTATTTTGAGGTCTGCTGGTCAAATGACCTTATCAAACACAATTACAGTTGATTACGGGATAGCTGTTAAAAGTAAAAATGGTTATTTGCGAAATCTGTCTTTTACTAATGTTGAATTGCTGATATTTTTTATATTTAGTTATCATTAAATCATATTGCGAATGATTGTGATTTTACTGTTCAGAAGTTTAGTAAATACTTTCTTAAATACACCCTGAAAGCAGACTCAAAACAGCTTATTATCAATATGTTCGCAAATCTAGAACCAACTGGTGTTTTACAGTAGCTTTTTGCTAAAGAGACATATTTGTAGTATTTAGTAGCTCTTATTCCCGGGTTGAGTCGCTTCGCATTTTAGGTACTGTAACTTATGTTGTATTCCAATCTTATCAGAATTTTCACAAACGCTTTGAAGAAATAGTATGAAGCTTAGCGGGAATTCTCAGGTTGGTAACTTAATGATCGAAAAACTCATTTGTAGGTTGTTGATAATAGTTATGATTTAACCCATTTATGTGTTATTTCCATTCCGGAAGTTAAACAACTACTTTTTCCTTTACAACACTGTACATAATTATCAACCATGGTTTTTTTCCAACTTACTCCTACACCAGCAAATATTGTGCGTCTAGGTATGCGGTGGTTAGATACCTCAGTCAATGTATTCACAATTGATTGATCACTGGGTGGTGATCAATGTCATGTTTGTCTAGTCCTTATTAGTGCAGATCGAATGCTATCGATCATATTGCAATGTGGCCACCAGTCTAGGTGACTCGACACTGCGGGCACTATGTATTGAGATTTAGATGGTGGTTGACTACCTCCAACCACCATCTAAATCAGTCAATGTATGTTTACCACTTCAACTGATTTGCCATCTTCACCTTACGTCTAACGTCAGCAGAGGAAAGTGGGAAAGAGGCTAGCGAAATCACAGTAACAATAAGGTAAATGTATAGAAGAAAACCAAAGATGATCTTACCAAGACAACTGGCACTGATTCTGAGTTATTTAACTTCTAGTCTTTTACTGTTTACAGACCTCAGACAACAAGTCTTTATACTAGGTATCATTACCAAGATTTGATTTGATAATTTCAAATAAGTCTTTGTACTGTTTGGACTAACGGTCATGGACATGTGGTATATCTTTGACAGCAATCAGCATTATATTCAATGCACCAGGATAAGCTGTCTTTAAATGCTTTTAGAGTAAATCGAAGATTCACTTCACCAAGCAGTTCGTTGGAATGAGTACTCAATTCAGTTGTTTCCTGTAAACACAACATAAATTATGAACAGATTTACCATAAATCCATATCCAATTTCGAGGAAATATTTAGCTAGATCCGCTTCTCAACTATCTCCGTAATAGTTTCTTATAATTTCTTATTTTTAGCCTCAATAGCGAAATACTAATGGTCTCATTAAATATGAGCACTGCCTCGAGGGTCCGTATTATTATTTCTAGTAATCCATATATATCTTCAGATAGTATTTTTTACGGCCTAAAAGCAGTATAGAGTGAACTGTTAGTTTCACCAAATACAGGTTCATATATATGACTCTAAATCACCTTATTTTGTGGATTTTTTAAATACTATGACTTATATACTTACTTTGGATTCTTGTACTCGTAATTGAACCACACTTTAGGTGTAACAGTATATGTAGTGGCGTTCGGACCAACGATATAGCGGTTAGGAGTCGAACGACTTCAAGTTATCTCTCCAACTCGGTAAATAATAATGATCCTTCAGATTATGGTCAAGCATCTGATATGATAATTTAATTTTCTACCTTTAGAAAGTACTTTATTGATTTTTTCTATTTGGTCTATATGGCGAGTTAGACTAACGAACATTTTTCTCGGACTCCACGTTGATTATGACTGGCTGATTTAATTTGAAAAACCTACTCACGAATCCTTCCTCATTTAATTTTGCAGATTTCTTGGACTGATGTTGTTGCATGTTCTTCCACATTGAAGGAAGCACTTACCAAAACATCGGGATCCTACACAGTTCAGGATTATCCTTCATCCCGTCTATTAGGCAGCTCCCCACCACTTGTGTGGACTTTATCAAGGCGCACACAACGCAGCATTTCTACATCTTCTCCTCCAGCTCTTTCAACTATCACAGAGGTAGATGAGGAGCGGGTTCTTTTAAATGATATTTTTTCGAACATGGATTTGGGTTTATAGTAAGTCCATTCATAATTTTTTCTACGGAAAATAACTGAACTAACCTTTCTGGTTGTAGGCTAACTTATTTAAAGAATCCATTCTCCTTAAGAGCTTCGCTTCATTGTTTTTCGTTTGCCCACCATATGCTGGAAATGATTCCTTTACACAGAACTTCATAAATTTCAAGAGTCTGATCACTATATAGAAACTAAGTCTCACAACTCTAATGGCTTATGATATCCCTCCATACGTAGTCAAATAATGTATTGTTTAGTTATAAAGTGGGTATTTTGTGGTAAAGAAGAATGTTTTACGAACAATTTTAATACATCTCATTTGTTGCTTTTATTTTATTTATTTATTTCAACACACAAATATTGGTACAAGAGGGCACCAAATGTATATGCGCCACACCATATTGTTGCTAATTATTCAGTAGGTTAAAAAGTATACAATTTAAGAGCAAGTCGATTAATCAACTCTACAATATCCCGAGATTCTTAATTGAAATGCTGTTCAGGGATGTAACTAAATATGCTAATTTTCAAACCATATATTTTGCTCAATGACTACGGTTTCACTAGATCGTTTAGATAAAATCTCTAGCATCTCGGGGTTCTCGTAATTCCAAGCAAAACAGTTAATTATATGAATGTGTAGATCACAAAAACACTTCTGTTTGAAGGTTTTGCTAGTTTGAAAACTCAATACATCATACAACCATCGTTTCTCAATCCTTTCTACTATTTAGTAAAGCGCTTAAAATCTAAACTAGGTCTCTTTCAAATCCATAAAAAGATTCGTTCGTCATGTGCAAACGTTTTGGAACCCCCTGGTTCCAAAATTAAATTTAATGCATAAGTTAACGATCTCCAAACAGTCGTATCACCTTCAGTTTTTTCTTTGCCTGTTACAACTTACCATTACAATACAACTCTTTCAGATGTTATCGGTTATGTAAAGTAGTTTATTCGGGTAAAGTTTCTTATGATGTTGTTTGATACCAATTATTTGGTTTATTGACAATAAGATACTTTGACATTTCCATGTTGTTGCTGTTTTTCTCAATATTGCTGTCCATCCATTAAATAATGTCTGCTATCGTATTTATCCGACCTGTTCTTTCGTGTTTGACGGAAATATTATCTCATCTTTTTTTGTAAAATACATCTCACCAACTTTATATGAGCTATTGAGTTCTTGAAAACTAATTAGATCTATCATACCATTGTTTAAATAAGATAATGTTACCAAGCATCCAGTTCTATGTGGTCAGCGCTTGTGACAAATCTAAAGCAGCAAGTCCCAATAACAAACAAATACAAATGTTCACAAGTTTAAAATCTATAAATTACTTTCCAGTTAGTCAGTGGATGATGTAAGTCAGTTTGTAGTCTTGATATAATAAATTGTCTTAATTTGTCATTCAATGATAATCAGACAGCTAGGTGTGAATTGTCATCTAGCATTTGACATTAGTGTTTCTAAGACCCAAGAGATATTGGAAAAAGTACAGTTTTATACTTAAGATGATATATCTCGAAGACTATTTTAATGACAGGTTCTTCTACACTATAAAGCAAAAGTTGATTACACTTGAATAAGTCTATGAAATAAGTGATGTGCATTTTTTCCCCTGTTAAATCCAAATAAAACTAATCTATCCATTTGGACAGATAAATTACATTTTTTTGTGTCTGACTAATTCATTTTGCTTGGTATTATTTGTTTCATTCTAATTTGCTTTTTAACATTCCCTTTCAGAAACTTTGACGAGGCATATTCAAATTTTAACGTTGTATCATCATTTTATTCAACTATCCTCCCATCCTATTATTTTTCAGCTTTTATAATCCTAATATAAATTTTGATCATTAAACCAATCTGTGATTGGGAAATCCAAGGAAAAAAAATCTTTTTAAACTTACTGTGAGAAAAAAAAAGAAAAGATAGAAATTTCCATTCCTGTTGTTATTTGTTATTGTTGTTTCTCTGAACTATTACCCTCTCCTCAAATTTTAATCAGCTGTGTACAAATTTCAAAACTATTTGTTTTTTAGAGAAAAAAAGAATTAACAATCAGTTTACTTTATTAGTTATTATCAGCAGCAAAACTATAGCTCAATGTATACCAGTACTACTACCAGCATATCTTCAATTTACTTAATTGTTGTTGTTTTTTTTATTATTTCTGTTCACATTGTCAAATTACAGAAAATCAAACAACTGTACTTGACTAGGGCTTTTTTTTCCTAATATTTCTTTACATATATATATATATATATATATATATATATATATATATATATATATATATATATATATATATATATATATATATATATATATATATATATATCAACAGCGAAAATCATTAAAAATTTTCCACAATAATTTCAATTCTTCCTTTTTTGTATCGAAAATAAATTGTGATCAATAATATATTACTACTGCTACCATTTATCCTACTCTCTCCGCCTAATTGACCTTCTTTTTTTTCTTTACAACTTTTATACTGAACTTCTAACTTAGGAAACAAGTGAAATAACAAGACAGATTATGTATGTATCGGTCTTATCTTAGTTCCTCTTTCTAGTCCGTTTATGCATTCATTTTATCAACAAAAAAAAAATTTTATGAGAAAAAAGTGCAATAAAAATATTTTTCGAATTGATTTTTTTCTCTAGTTTTTGTTTTGTAATAGTTTCAATGGGTTTTTGATTATGGATCTATTTAATTAGTTAACCTATAGTTTTTCATCGTATTAGGTTGATTTTCAATCCGTTATAAAGTTTAAAATATAGATGTAATTCATTAAGATTAGTATATTATCTTCCAAACTAAGTAAATAGATATATAATACTAAACCATGAATTATTATGTTTATTTACAAAAGAAGCAATTTGTAAAATAAAACATGTATGTATTATACAAAAATGAATAATTAAATACAAAGAATACTTGTGTTTAATAGTTCTTATGTAATTTTATTTAGATATTTATGCCGTTGCATATTTTCCGTTGGATTTTCATGTTAAAAGAAATGGTGCAGAAACTAGGTTGTTTCCAAACTATTATTTGTGGGTCGGTCCTATACAAAAGTCACGTAGGTAGGTGATGTATGCTCGTTATAGAAAGCTGTTTTAGCAAGTAAACATGACTTGAAATATCGTATTTCATGCTTTCAGTGAGTTTGTCAAGTTACAAGTGAACAAAGTGGGAATAGTATTACGTGTACTAATGTTATCGATGTGTAATCAGCATCTAGAACTTTATCAAGTGAATACTTACACCTGTTATTCCTCGTGAAGGAGCGTAGGCCGCTCACCAGCATTCTCCATCCAACCCTGTCCTGAGCAATTCTTTCCAGTTTTTATTCATCCTTTCCATACTTGCTTCTATTTCCCGACGTAATGTGTTCTTTGGCCTTCCTCTTCTCCGTTTCCCTTCAGGATTCCAAGTCAGGGCTTGTCTCGTGATGCAGTTCGACGATTTGCGTAACGCATGTCCTATCCATTTCCATCGTCTTTTCCGAATTTCCTCTTCAGCTGGAAGCTGGTTTGTTCTCTCCCAGAGAAGGTTTTTGCTGATGGTATCCGGCCAATGGATGTTGAGTATCTTGCGCAGACAACTATTTATAAATACTTGTACTTATTTGATGATGATTGTTGTAGTTCTCCAAGTTTCAGCTCCGTACAGTAGAACTGCCTTGACGTTCGTATTGAAGATTCTCACTTTGATATTGGTTGAAAGTTGTTTTGAGTTCCACATGTTCTTCAATTGTAGGAATGCGGCCCTTGCTTTGCCGATCCTCGCCTTTACGTCTGCATCTGAACCTCCTTGTTCATCGATGATGCTTCCCAGGTATGTGAAGGATTCTACATCTTCCAGAGTTTCGCCATCAAGAGTGATTGGATTGCTGTTCTCCGTTTGAATTTGAGGACCTTGGTTTTCCCTTTGTGTATGTTGAGGCCTACTGATGCAGAGACTGCTGCTACACTGGCTGTCTTCATCTGCATTTGTTCGTGTGTATGCGATAGGAGGGCTAGGTCATCTGCGAAGTCCAAATCGTCTAATTGATTCTGAGCTGTCCATTGTATGCCGTGTTTTCCTTCAGATGTCGAGGTCTTCATAATCCAGTCGACCACCAGAAGAAAGAGGAAGGGAGAGAGTAGACAGCCTTGTCTGACTCCGGTCCTTACTTGGGATGCGTCTGTCAGCTGTCCTCCATGCACTACTTTGCACTGTAGTCCGTCGTATGAGTTCCGGATAATGTTGACAATCTTCTGAGGAACTCCGTAGTGTCGAAGAAGTTTCCATAACGTCCTCCTATCTACACTGTCGAATGCCTTTTCATAATCAATGAAGTTGATGTATAGTGATGAGTTCCACTCAATTGATTGTTCGACGATGATCCGTAGTGTTGCAATTTGGTCTGTGCACGACCGATCCTTACGGAATCCAGCTTGTTGATCTCGAAGTTGGGCGTCTACTGCATCCTTCATCCGGTTCAGCAACACTCTGTTGAAGACTTTCCCTGGTATTGACAGTAGTGTAATGCCTCTGTAGTTTTCACATTTGCTCAGATTTCCTTTCTTTGGAATCTTGATGAGGTGTCCTTCTTTCCAGTCCATCGGCACTTGTTCCTCCTCCCAAATCTTTTTGAATAGAAGGTAAAGCATGCTTGTGGTTGCTTCGATGTCTGACTTCAGTGCTTCAGCTGGTATGTTGTCGGGTCCTGCTGCTTTCCCTCTCTTGATTTGTCTGATGGTCATTCTGATTTCTTCCGTCGTTGGTGGATTGACATCTATAGGAAGATCTATGTGTGCTGCTTCGATGTCCGGTGGATTCATTGGAGTCGGCCTATTCAGGAGTTCCTCGAAGTATTCTACCCATCTGTCTCCCTATCCTTGAATTTCAGTGATTGGCTTGCGTTTTTTATCTTTGACCGGTCTCTGGTTTACTGTAGTTCCCCGCTCGTTTCTTCGTTGTATCGTAAAGCTGTTTCGTATTTCCTTTTCTCGCAGCTTTTTCCGCCGTCGTTGCTAGTTCTACCACGTACTTCTTCTTGTCGGCTCTAATTCTCTTCTTCACTTGCTTGTTTGCTTCTATGTACTCAGCTTGTGCTTGGACTTTCTGTGCTCGTGTTCGGCTGTTGCTAATTGCTGTCTTCTTGTTCTTCCTTTCTTGAACCACACCCAGTGTTTCTATAGAGATCCATTCCTTATGATGATGATGCTTTTTGAGGCCCAGAACTTCATGACACGTTGAACTGGCTTAGAAAACCACTTACATGTAAACGTGTGTACGCATATAATTCCACCTGCAGCCCTCCTAGGGTTACTGCCGATCTCAAGTCCGGCTGAAAGAGGAAGGTTGGGTATGTGATCAGCAACCCCATCCCGAGGGAAACAATCCTGCTAAAGAGAGCAAGAACAAAGGTTGGTACAGAATAATATGAATTCATTTTATTTCGTTAGGTTCTCATCAGCTGCTTACAACCTAAAATATTTGAAATTCAACGTTATTATAGATATTGACATACTTACACAACAGAGGGCGATGAAGGATATATTTCATATATTGCTCTCTTTAAAATAATAAAAGGAACTATGTGTATGAAATCCTGCTAAAAACAATGCTAACCAGAAGAAACAATTTAAAATCTACCATCGGAGTTAAAGGGTCTTCATTCAGAAGACTAATGGCACATCAAGGTGAAACCTGAGATTTTTCGGAAGCCACGCAACCTATGCTCCTTCTGACAACTAGAACAACAATTTTCATAGGTACTTGAAACGTCTGGACAATATGGGAGATTGGGAGGTCTAGTCAAATAGCGACGGAAGTGTGTAGATACAACATAGTGGTTCTCGGGATCAGAAGATAAATGGAAGACGTAAGAACCAGGAGAGGAGCTGACATTGCTTCAGATCAACACCTAGTGGTTTCCATGATAAAACTAAAGATAATGAAACACTGGACAACTGGTGAAACAGCATTACAAAGGTTCAATACAGCGTCCCTTTGACCTACTGACAAACTCAACGAATTCAATATAACTTTCAACAGCAGGTTCCAAACCTTACAGGATCTACTGAAAGAAGAAACTATTATGGAGGACAACTGGAAAGGTATCAAAAAAGCACCAACCTGAGCGTGTCAGGAAGTGATGGGCCGCAACAAGCATTATCATGAGGAATGGATCTCTATAGAAACACTGGGTGTGGTTCAAGAAATGAAGAACAGGAAGACGACAATTAATAACAGTCGAACAAGAACAGAGAAAGTCAAGGCACAAGCTGAATGCACTGAAGCAAACAAGCAAGTGAAGAAGAGCATTAGAGCTGACATACAGAAATATGTGGAAAACCCAGCAGTGACTGCGAAAAAAGCTGCAGCAGAAGAAATAGTGAAACAATTATATGACACAACGAAGAAACTAGTAGATAGATATAGTAAACCAGAGTGACCGATCAAGGACAAAGAAGGCAAGACAACCATCGAGATTCAAGAACAGAGGACGAGATGGGTGGAACAATTCGAGGAACTCTTGAATATACTGGCTCCATTGAATCCACCGGATATCGAATCAGCACACACAGACCTTCTTATAGATAGCACTCCACCAACAGTCGAAGAAATCAGGATGGCCATCAGACAAATACGAGTGGGAAATCAACAGGACCTAAACATATACCAGATGAAACACTCAAGTCAGATAAAGAAGTAACTGCAAGTTTGCTTCACGTTCTGTTCACCAAGATCCGGAAGAAGTGCCACCGACAGACTGGAAAGAACGATACCTCATCAAGACACTAAAGAGAGTATATTTGGGAAAATGTGAGCACTAAAGAGGAATCACACTACTGTCAGTATGAGGATAGGTTTTCGACAGAGTGTTACTGAACCGGATGAAATACTCAGTAGACGC